GCCTCTCTTTATGTAGTCAGAAGCCATATGTGTCCATGTGTGCCTGTGTGTAGGTCTGTGTGGGTAGCTGTTTTGCTATGGATCTGTCCTTGCTTAGATGTCCATCTGTCTTTAGCCATATGTCAAAGATTATGTATGTATATATCCTGTGTATGTACTCCTTTTCTCTCTTTAAGTATCCCACCTGCCTTTCTGCCTCAGATCCTTGTCTTTTAGCATTTTAGAACCACCTCTCCCCACTTCTATTTCCTGGATTTAACCCCTACCCATCCCCTTGTCCTTCCATTCTTCCTCTCATCCAACAGCCCCAGGGGCTGGACTTGGGGAAACTCTGAGTGCCAGTGGTAAAACCCTAGATCCCATCCCTCTTCCTTTTTCCCACTGCAGCACCCCTCCCCCTTCCTCTACCAGCTTTGAAAAAACCAAAGGCCAGACGTGTAGAGAATGGGGGCTGTAGGAGGAGACAGCATCCCCAAGGCTTCTCTGTGCAGCACACACTGAGTGCCCTGCCCCCTTCACATTTGGGGGTATAATTCCCTCATCTCTTTCATGCAATCCCATATTTCCTTACCGCAAGTCCAGGGGCAGCTGAACAGCAGCAGCAGTAGAGGTGGGGGCAGGAGACCGGCTCCAGGGGTCCCCATGGTACCCTGATCCCCAAATCCCTCTCCAGCACCCCAATCCCTCTCCTCCCAGGGGCTGAAGAGCTAGTCTTCTTTACTCAGCTTCTTGGCTATTCCACTAATTCTTCCCTTCCCAAGGGCTGAAGAGCTAGTCTTCTTGCTCTTCTTCTTGCCTATTCTGCTCCGGTCTACTACTGCTTCCTTTTAAGGAAAAAAAATCCAGTGCTCGACAGGAGGCGAAAGGCTGAGGTGGGTGTGTGTGTGTGTGTGTGTGTGAAGAATATACCGGGAAGAGACTGGGAACCGAAGATTCCTGGTTTTCTTGCCTGCTTGAATACCCGGGTCCTCTCTCTTGCCCGGACACCTCCGTCCTCTCTGTTCCTGTGGATGTTGGGGGGTGGGGTGGGGTGGGGGGAGAAAAAGGGGGCGCGGCTGCGGCTGCAGGGGGTGGGGCGAGGTGGGGGAGTGCTAAATCAGATCAGGCTTTCTGAGAGATCCGGGGACGCCTGGGTTCCACTCTTCCCCTGACGCCTGTTTTCGGCCTCGCTTAGATCCCAGGTTGTTGGGGTACAGGGTAAGACTGGAATAGCAGCTTGGGGTGGGAGGTGGAAAGAATGAAGGGTCGGGAGGGGTATCTAAAGGGCTCTAGGAGGTTCCTACGGGGAAAGAAGGGAGAGGGTCGTAGGGTCCTGGGGGAGGGAGATGCCGGGGGGGCAGCTCGAGAGCTGAGGCTAAGGGAGGGAGAAGCTGAGAAAGGTGTCGGAGCCCACGTCAGATCCTGGGGCCGGGCGAGGGGAGGGGCCTGGTGCGTGGGTATGTTGGGGGGAGAGCCGGCGTGGGACTGAGACTAGAGGAGGGTGGGGGCACTGTATGAAGAAGAGCACCGAGTTGTGTTTTTCATTCCCCCACCCCACCTCCCCACTCCCTGATCTACTGGTGAGAGAAAAAGGAAAGCTTCAATCCGGTCACATCTCTAATTAACGTCCCCCGCCCTCCAAGTCACCCTCCCAGTGCATCTGGAATTTTAATCGCCTTCTTCCCAGTTCTGGAAGCTGCAACGCAGCTGCATTTCCTTCTGTCTGTTCCCCAAGACACCCCCGACTTTACATTCCCCCCTCCCTTTTCTCAACCACCAAGGGTGAATTTGCCTCCCATTACAGCTCTGCATCATCGGGAAATTGCTCTCTTGTCCACCCCAACCCCGCCCCCAGGAGTACTACATTGCCTTCCAAACAAGGGGTAGGAGATGGGGGTGGGTCTTCTTTCCTCGCCCCCAACCTATAAAATATCCCGCTCCCCCTCTCCTAGGGTCTAATATCTAAAATGTCTCTTCTCGATTTTCTCAAGGAGTCCTTTCCTCATGATCCTTCAAACTAGATTCAGTCTGAGGCGTGTCTTGTCCCATGCTTATACAGTGCTGCCCTTGCCCACCCTCTTCTCTGCCTTCAAGGATTGGCCCCGCTGCTTCATAGCACACTTCCCGCGATAGGTTTTAACGGGCGCTGGGGTGCAGGCCTCTTTCAGCACCAGCGACCCAAGGACAGCGCTCGGCCTCAGCCCCGCCCCTCGGCTCCAGACCCGGGGGCTCCCCGGCTTTCAAAGCTGATTGGCTGTGGCAGCCTCCACCTTCGCCTCTTGCCTGCAATCACTGGCGCTCAGGTGACGGTCCTTCGGGAAGCGGGGGCTGGAGCTGGGAGGGAGAAGAGTCACCTAGAGACAGACAGACAGAGGTGGCTCTGCCCCTCGATGCTGACTTGATTGCCTCCCGCTGGCTGTCACCGCCGCCCTCGCCCCACCATTCTGTGGGTCTCTCCACTCCTTCCTACCCACTGGCTCCGTGCCCCGCCCCTCCTTCCCCCTTTTCGCATTGCGGGCCGGCCGGACTCCGACGCAGCCACCTCAAAGCCCAACTTGACACCTTGCCAAGGCGGGGGGAGTCCAGCTCTGCCGGGGCCTTGCTTTACAAACCTTTAGGGTTCGCCCCTTCCCTGCCCCCAACCCCGGATACCAAAAGTTCCCCCGCCCTCCCCTGCCTTGCCCCCTTCCCTCTGTTCTTTCCCTTCCTGACGCAAGAGTATCCCTGAGATGCGGCTGACTCTGGGGTGGGCCCGAAGTGATGGGTGCGGGGGTGGGAAGAGGGAGAAGGTGACGTCAGAGTGAGTGGGAAAGGGGGGGAGAGGAGAGGAGAGAGAGAAGGGATAGAGCAGAGAAAAGGGGAGGGGAAAAGACAGGAGAGGCGAGGAGGTGGGGAGGGACAGAAGAGAGGGAACGAAGGAGAGGGTTGTGGAGGAAAGGCGGTAGCTGCTGCAGAGGATTAGGATCTATCTCAGGATCTGAGGGCTGCATGATGAGGTAGGGCAGCAACTGCTGATGGAGGAAGAGAGGAATTGAAAAGTGGAAGCAGAATCGTGGAGGCAGAAGCCCCAGAAAAAGGGGGCCAGGAAGGAGAGGTGATGGGGAATGAGCAAGACAGCATGGAGTAAGGTCCGAGGAAGTTGAAACCGAGGTTGCCAGAAGAGAGAGCTGGTAGGGCAGGGTGAGGAGGAAAACAGATTTGGGGAATGCCTGGGTCCTTTTGACTATACTCCCCACCCCATTTCACCATGCCCCCTTGGTCCCTACCCCTGGCCTGCCCAGCCCTCACTGTGATCCTAGGGGCCCTTACTTCCCTTTTCCTCTGGTACTGTTATCGACTGGGCTCCCAGGACACCCCAATCCCAGGGGCAGGGGGTGCTAGCAGAGGTGGTATTGGAGTTGGTAGAGGTTCTGAGGCTGGAGGTCAAGACCCAGGGGTCACCAGGGGGCCTGGTGAAGGGCCTGGGGCAGAAGGCCTTGTGAGTCGGAGGCTTCGGGCCTATGCCCAGCGTTACTCCTGGGCCGGGATGGGGCGGGTGAGGCGGGCAGCTCAGGGCAGCAGCAGCTTTGGTGGAGGGCCAGGGATCCAACGCCCGGCTCTGCTCTTTTTGCCGGACCTTCCTTCTGCTCCATTTGTGCCCCGGGATGCTCAGCGACATGATGTGGAGCTCCTAGAGAGTAGTTTCCCTGCCATTCTTCGGGACTTTGGAACTGTGAGCTGGGATTTCTCAGGGACATCTTCTCCACCTCGGGGATGGTCTCCTCCTTTGGCCCCTGGGTGCCATCAGTTCCTACTCTACAGGGCTGGTCGGTGCCAGCCAAATAACTGCCGACGCTGCCCAGGGGCATATCGGGCCCTTAGAGGGCTGAGAAGCTTTGTGAGTGCCAATTCTTTTGGCAATGCTGGTTTTTCTGTTCTTCTGCCTGGAGCCAGACTTGAGGGGCGCTGTGGACCCACCAACGCTCGTGTTCGTTGTCACTTAGGTAAGTAGTGGATCAAGGATATTTAGGTTTAACCTGGGGTAAAATGGAACAACATGGGTCTATTTGGGGAAGTGATGAGAATGTCTGAATTGGGTGGAAGGGGACTCCTCTGACCTTCACCTGGGCCTTCTCCAACAGGCCTGAAGATTCCACCTGGCTGTGAGTTAGTCGTTGGGGGTGAGCCCCAGTGCTGGTCTGAAGGACACTGTCTACTCGTGGACGATTCTTTCCTGCACACAGCAGCTCACAATGGTAACCAGGACACCAGAGCTCTGCAAAAAAGGGATTTGGGAGTCTAGAGGGGTGATTGGTCAAAGCTGGAACTTAAGAACAAAACTGAATGATTTTAATCCTCTGCTTCCTTTTTGTCTCCAGGCTCTGCAGAAGATGGACCTCGTGTGGTCTTCATTGTTGATCTTTGGCATCCCAATGTAGCTGGGGCTGAGCGACAAGCTCTTGATTTTGTCTTCGCACCTGATCCATAAAGGGAAATGTGATGTCCCAATATCCTCCCCTAGAGAGGGCTCCTATCTCCTACTCATGAACCACTGACACACTGAATTTAGCTTGGTGTGACAAAGTTTGCCTCTCACCTCTGGTGCTGCTATGGGTGTCAAGACATGCAGAAGTGAGGAGTTGGCATATCCAAGAACTGAAATACAAATTTACAATACTCTTTAAATCCTGGCAGCATCCTTCCACAACACACAAGAGAGGGACACTTAAAGCTGGCTGTAATTTCAGATGCAGTATAATGTAATGCAAAGAACACTACACTTGAAGTGAGAAAACTCAGTCTCTAGGCTTGCTTCTGCCACTAAGCTTTGGCTGGTGGGCAAATCATCTCACCTCCTGGGACCTAGCTTATGTCTCTGAAATGACGGGGTTAAACTACATGACCTAGTTTCCTTTCAGCTCTACAAATAAGTGAAGCTTACCTACCCTGCATAGAACTTGCCCCACCTTCTCTCATTCATATCCAACAAAACAAACCCCAATCTGTCAAAGGTAAAATCCCTCTTCCAGGAACCAAGTCTATCCTTGCAATTCAACTTTATTTCAATAATTTAATAGAAAATTAAAATAAATAATAAGAAACAAGTAGGTGGGGAGGCCAGGCTGGGAAGGCCACAGGCCACTTCAGTACCAATTTAAGAAGGGCCAAGGGCCAAGGACAGGATTGTAGGTGAAACGGCTATAAAATGTACAGGGGCAAAGGAATAGGCTTGGAATGTAGCAGATGGTTAAGGTCATGAGAAAAACTTTGGCACATCATACATATTAAAAGGAAGTGAAAACATAGGCAGAACAAAAAATTTGAAACATGCACCTATGATGGATGCAAAGATAGGGGAATGTAAGAACTGGAGGTAGGGAGAAGGTAGAGAGAGTGAGAGAACATCATATCCAAGCAGTTTGGAGGGGGTGAAGATAACAAACACAACATTCTGGGAAGAATTGTAGTATGTGCCTTGGAATGTACCATGTTGTTGATGGGCTTGGAGGAATAAGGAGGATAAAAGGGGCTAAATGTACTGTACCATAAATCTGAAATACTGAGTGGAGAGAGAAAACCCACGACTTGACCAGCAAAGCCGGGGCAGAAGTCATGGGAAAGGTGAGAATGGAAGCATTATGGCAGCGGTAACAATAAGAGGGGAGAACAAGTTCAAGGGGAGGGTGGTGAAAGGTCAGTCCTTGAAGACAGCCTGCTGGCCATGGGGTCTCTCATCATGAGTAATGTGTCGTCTGACGTGGATCCTTCGGACTCGATGCTCTCGTCCGTCTTCATCTTCTCCCCGCCCAGCCCCACCTCCTCCAGCAGCACCCCCAGTGGCCTCTAAGAGAGCAGGGTCAGGCCCCCGGGGTGTCTCATAGATAAGAATGTTCAATGTTTCTTCAAAGATCCTTGCCTCTGGGAATTCTACCTGTGAGGAGGTAGATGCCAAGGTTGACAACAGCTTGTTCCATCTCTGAGCAGTTCTGGTCTTATTAAAAGCAGGGGAGGGAAGGATGGGAAGAAAGAGAGAGAAGAGAGATTGAAAGAGAGAAGAGGAAGGAGGGAGGGATGGAAAGAGGAAGGGGGGAGAGAGGAGGAGAGAGGAGGGGAGAGAGGGGGGAGAGAGGGGAGAAAGAGGGGAGAAAAAGGGGAGGGGGGGAAGAGAGAAGTAGCAGCTAGACCCCTAAAGCCACCTTGTTTTCAATACAAGTTTCCTCCTTCCTAAGCACACAGATACCGTTACATTGCTTCCTTAATAGCCAAGAGTGCTCAAGTGTACTTCTCCCACCTTTAAACCCCAACTCATCCCTAACCTTGGTTTGCTTCTTCTCAGTGGCATAGACAATGGAAGTACAGCAGACTTCGGCAATCTTTCGGCCCTGTCCATAAAAAGACCAGCAGCAGATCTCATCACCCAGTACATCTTTGAGAAAGAGCAGACGCCCATGGAAGCGCAACGCCAGCTTGTCGAACAGCTCAATGTTCTTTAGTAGGTTGTCGTCCGACGTGCTGGGGGATTGGAGAGGTGGGTAGCAAAAGGCAGTGAGATTCCAGCACCCAAACCAACTGACTTGAACTCATCAAACCCAAGTTAGAGTTTTGGGTATTGGGAATGGAGATAGAAAGGAGACAGGAACTTGGGGAATAAGGCTATGGCCGTTAAAGAGAACAGGGTTGAGAATCGAAGGGCTGGGCCAGTCCAGGGCTCTCCCTCACCTGGTGTAGGAATATTTGTTGTTACTTCGATTGTGCAGCAGCTTCACCACTGGCTGAGGGGGAAGAAAGCAAGGACAGAAGGAGAAAAGGGTCAAGCTGAGTTCAAAAAAGCCAACCCTTCCCAAGGTGCTGGTGTCTCACCTTGGAGGTGCTAGCCAGAAGCTGCTGCTCTTCCCGTGGAGATGTCACCATGGGAATAAGGCAGAGTGGGGAAAGGCTCTCACTCTTTTGCTGGAGAAAGAGAAAGGAAGTTAGTTGCCACTTGACAGAGGAAAGGAGGTGGGAAGAATGGTAAGAACTGGGACTTGAGAATCAAGTATGAAACCCAGCCACCAATACTTCTCTCTTCCCTATCACTCAGGGCTAGAACTCTTTTCAGAGCCCCACAACTACCAAGAAACATAACAGTGGAGAAGGGGCTCTGGGAAGATAAATTAGGGCATGAGAAGCAACATAATGCAATGCAAAGGACACTAGGATATAATCCTGGTTCTGCCACTTGCTATCGTATGAACTAGTGCAAGTGATTTTACCTACCTCTCAGTATACTTCCTTATCTATGAAAGGAGGAAAATAATGAGCCTGACTACTGCACAAGATTATTTTGTATCATGCATGAACTTTTGAAGACGCTATAAAAATACAGACTGTCTCAAACTTAGTGCCACTTTAAGAGTTCTTAAAACAGCACTAAGACATCTTGTATATTAGTACAGAAAGAAAGGCAATATGGTATACTGGAAAAGACAAGATACCAGGAGTTAGGAGACCAGAGATTGCGACTCTGTCATGGTTCTGACACTAGATGTGTGATCAAGGGCAAAATCACTTTATTTTTCTGAGCCTCAGTTTCATCAACTTTTCCACTACTTCACAGGTTTCTATTTCTTTTTTTTGGGGGGGGAGTGATGCTTTGTAACGTTTAAAAGTAAAAATATCATATAAATGTGAATTATTCTTGCCAGAGCCGGAAGGGACATTAGAACTAGTCTCATCTATTCATTTCACAAGAAACTGAGATCCAGAGAGGTTAAAAAGCTAGCTAGTGTGTACATGGAGCCAGGATGGGAACACAGTGTTCCCAAAAGAGTAGCCCACAAGCCCCTGGGTTCCCTTGTTCACATATTACTCTCTGTAGTTTACCTCCTCACATCAATTCTACTCATTCCATCTTGGTTATTACTTCAGGTAAAATAAGATAGGAAGCAAATGAGGGATGAAATAGTGTGGGAGGGAACAGGCTACAGGCAAGAGTTTCCTTCTGTGTTCCTCAAGAAGTCAACAAATAGATACAGGGAAAAAGGTGGAAGGGCATGTGGTCTCACCTGCAGAGCCAACTGGCAATCCTCAGCTAGCCCCTGCACCAAGTAGTATCGTGCCTCACCCAACAGCTCACCCAGCTCCCGAGGGCCCTCTGGAAGAGGCACTGACCCATCCCGAAGGTAGTTCAGGATTGTCCCAAAATGACGTCCACTCCTGTCAATCAGCACCCAACCTGAGAGAGGAAAAGGGGGGGGCAGAGAGAAAGAAGAAGGAAAAAATTTTTCCTGTGACTTCTAATCATTTCCATACCCAATATAAATCCTTTCCTCAAAAAACTGTCCTACACTAGAGGATATTTGTCATTGTCCTAGGTATAGACCATTAATACTTGAAGAAAAGACTTGGTAATTCTTTGTTGATGATGATTCTTCCAAACTATTATCAGCTCCACAGACCTCACTTTTTGATGGAGGCTGGTATCTCACCTAAAAGGTTAAAATACTCAAGATACCCATTCCCTGACCAGGGGTAAAGTAATCACTGAGCTAAGCACAAATTCTTCCTACTTCAGCAAGACTTTGTGTCTACAATCACCCAAACTCCCCAGCTCTTAATATGTTCCTTCAATGTGTATCCTCCCCTTTTTCCTCTGGTGGGATCAGGTGCACAGCAAAGCCTACCACCCCCAACTCCTGGGCTTCCATAGGAACAAAGGCATAATCCTGTCCCTTGGCAGCATATGGAACAGCTGCTTTTATTCTTTATTCAATACTAATTTTCCCCTCCCCCAACAGCAGGGCTGTGGCATTCCTACTACTTCACTCTCCACCCCCTAACAAATACATCTACTAGCAGCTGTCTTCCCTTTCATTCTTGCTGTGTAAGGTTCACCCCTGCCTCTTGAGACAAGCAAGCATTACCAATAGTCCCCATACCACCCTGAGGTTGGGACCAAATATGCTTTTAATTCTGCATTCCTGCCAGAGGGTAGAACCCTACACAGCTGGCCATCTGTCTCTCCAGCAGTAATAATTTCCATGCCTAGCAAATGTAACTCCTTCCCCCCAAAAGACTGCCGTCTACCTAGAGGGCGTCGTACTAAAGGTATACCTTTAATACTTGAAGAAAAACCTAGGTAATTTTTTGTTAATGATGATGATTCCTCCTTACTATAATCAGCTCCAAAGGCTGAAAGAGATAACTTGCAAACCCTGAGTACCTTTCCCATTTTTTATTTCTGACAGTGTTGAGGCTAGCCTCCAATCTCCATCCATCTATTCAATGGATATTTAAAGGACCAGAGGTTTTTAGAGAAAGAAAATTTTGAGGTCATCTAGCCTAACATTGTATAGATGAGGAAACTGAGGCCCAAAGGGGTTAAGGGACTACTTCCAATTCACACAGGTTAGCTGTAGAGCCTGGAATTGAACCCATTTCTTTTGACTGCTAAAGCGTTTGACTTTCCAGCTATGCCAAGCAGCTTTTTAGAGACCAGGATGTGTGGGGCAGATACAAAGGATGAACAAGACTCAGTCCCGGGGGCCCCCAAGGAGCTTTCGGACTCGCACGACGGCCGCACTCAGATCTGTCCCGAGTGTCCTCCCCGGCCCCGGCCCCAAGCCCGGGTACCTTCGGAGTCTGTGAGCACCTCCATGCGGCCACTGAACATAGCTTTGAGCATGGTGTCCTGCTTGGTCAGGGTCTGCAGCGTGGTGTAATGGAGCGAGCCCCCCACGTTCAGCTTCACGTACTTGCTACTCGGACTCAGCGGCTTGAGGTCGTAGGCGGCGCCCACGCCTGCGGCCCCGGGGGTGGGAGGTGTGGGCGGCAGTGACGGGCCCGGGGGCTCGGGACCCCCAGGGGAGGGGGCGGCCGGGGATCCCGCGCCCGTGGCCTCGGCCGACATGCTAGCCACTCCCGCCCGAGGTGGTGGCGGCGGCGGCGGCGGCGGCAGCAGCAGCAGCAGCAAAATCACTCCAGTCCAGGCCCCTCCCCCGACCCCAGTCCTAGCCGCAACCTCTGACCCTGGTCCTCAGATGCCGCCCCTCTCCGCGAGCTCTTCAATTCCCCACCCCACCTCCCCCCGCCCCTACCCCCTCCCCCTCCCTCCCGCCCACCCCGCTATCCCCCCGCCCCAACTCGGCTCTAGTCGGCTCCCGGACCCCTCCGCCGCCCCATCTCGGCAGCGCTGCCCGGAAGTTAGGCGCTGACCCAATCCACGCAAACGCACTGCGACTTCCCTCGCAGGAGAGGAGGAAGAAGAAAGGGAGGCATGCGCACTGGCGGCTGGAGCGGTTTGACTCTCGAGCGCCGCCCCGAGGGCCCTTGGCATTCCCCGCACCTTGGGGGAAGGAGGTCGCGTGGGGCCACAGGGAGACCGTGGAGCAGGGACTGGTAGACTGTCTGCTTTCCCTAAGAACTTAATGTAGCGAAGCGCTGTTAAAAACAAAACAAAGCAAATAACAACAAAAACATCGTTGTAACCCCAGGCACACTTAAAAAAAATGCAAGCACATTTCTTAGATTGTATTTTATTCAAATAAAAAATGTATTACATTTTATAACAAATTAATTTAAATCTTAAACATAAGGTAACAAACTGAGATACTTGTTTTTTGATAAAAATCCTTTTCAGGTTTCATATTTATGACTTTTAAAATAATCATAATAATATTATTCATGTGAATGTAAGCTTGTTTGGGGTTCAGTTCCTCAAAACTAGATGTCATTGAGATAATGGCTACTATTTGCTAATGGAGATGACAACTTTGTCTTTAAAACAGCCTCATCAGTACCACATCACACCTATTAGATTGGCCAACATGACAAAACAAGTAAATGATAAATGTTGGAGAAGATGTGGGAAAATTGGAACACTAATGCATTGTTGGTGGAGTTGTGAAATGATCCAACCATTTTGGAGAGCAATTTGGAACTATGCCCAAAAGGCTATAAAAATGTGCATACCCTTTGACCCAGCAATAGCACTTTTAGGGCTATATCCCAAAGAGATCCTACAAATGGGAAAAGGGCCCACATGTACAAAAGTATTTGTAGCAGCTCTTTTTGTGGTGGCCATGAATTGGAAATGGAGGGGATGCCCATCAACTGGGGAATGGCTGAACAAGTTGTGATATATGAATGTAATGGAATATTATTGTGCTATAAGAAATGATGAGCAGGTGGACTTCAGGAAAACCTGGAAAGACTTGTATGGACTGACGCTGAGTGAAATGAGCAGAACCAGGAGAACGTTGTACACAGTAACAGTCATGTTGTTTGATGACTAATACTGATAGACTTAGCCCTTCTCAGCAATGCAAGGATCTAAGACCTTCATGATGATCAAAGGCATCATGATGGAAAATGCTATCCACATCCAAAGAAAGAACTATGGAGTTTGAATGCAGATTGAAGCAAATAGTATTTTGCCATTTTTTCCTCCTGTTTTGTTTTGTTTCCTCTTTCTTGTGGTTCCTTCTATTAGTTCTAATTCTTCTTTACAACATGACTAATATGAAAATATGTTTAATAGGAATGTATATGTATAGCCTATATCAGATTGCTCACTGTCTTGGGGAGAGAGGGGGAGAAAAATTTAAAACTCAAAAGCTTATGGAAGTGATTGTTGATAAGTCAAAATAAATTAAACAAAAAAATTTAAAAACAGCCTTATCAGAAAAACCTCTCATAGGAATAAGATGTTAAGAACCAGTATTTTTTTTAAAAAAGTACCTTTTTGTCTGATACACAGAACCGTTTATTCACTCATAGCCAAATATTAAAGATTTTCAGGTTCAAACATTTATGGAAGTTGTACTCCAAAATGTACAATGATTTTAGCTACTTCTTCCTGCCTCCCCTAAGAGAGTTGTTGTCCCATAGTTTGGAAAACTACAGTAAGGGAAGACTACAGCTTTGTCCTTTATGAGTGACTCTACCCTACCCACAACTTCCTTAGCCACAGTTAATATTGTTTCTAAATAATATGCATTTCTACATGGCAGTCCTTCAACTGAGATAAAGGTGCTCCACAAAGATTTTTGCTGGGATAGAGGTAATTCTTGGAGAGAATGAAAGGCAGGCAGGGGAGGGTTTTTTTAAACTATTGACTTAAACACCCCAAATAATCTTTCCATACACACAGAACACAAAAGTATTCTGTATGAAATGGTGAATCTATTTCATATCGACTACTTACTTTCAAATGTAGTATATTACTTTCAATGTACATAACGTAGTACATTACTTTCAAAACTGTCCTGCTTTTCTGTGCTTCCTTCTGAACTTCATTCTGTATTTTCTGCATTTTCTAAATAATGTTTCAATTGCCATGGGGGGAGGAACAGCATTGTTGTTAATCTGTCTTCTACTCTAAAGCCCATTCATTAAAAGCTAAAAAAAAAAAAAGAATACAAATTAGCATAGACAAGCAAAATAAACCTAGTCAGTTTTCATGCCCAAAAATGTATGTCTCTTTCTGCACCTTGTATCCATCAGGAAATGGGTAACATGTTTCTTCATAGGTCCTCTAGAGCCATGGTTGGTCATTGCATTGATCAGAGTTCATAAGTCTTTCCAGGTTGTTATTCTTTACTGTGTTACTGTCCTCTTTACACACTGTTCTCCTGGTTCTGCTCACTTCACTCTGCATCAGTTTATTTTACCCAGAATTCTCTGAATCATCTCTTTCATCATTTCTTATGGTGCAATAACATTCCATTACATTCATCTGCCACAACTTGTTTATTTATTATCCAAGAGTCTGAGGTAATCTAAGGCACTCCCTTAGGTTCTCATTCTTTTCTTTTTCTTCCCCCTCCCCCTCTTTCAGGATCTAGAAATTTGTTTTACTTGGTATTAGACTTCCTCTTAACTTCCCTTCCTCATCCCTACTTGTTTTCTCATTGAGTTCGGTATCCCTACACCAAACTTTTTTGGGGGGGTGTACATGTTCAATCCTTCTTTGTCCAGTTCAGATAAAAGTTCACCAGATGCCCATTTCCCTACCCCTTCCTCCATGTTTGTAGACTCCTCTTCTAATACACCCCAATGAAGAGAAACAGTGAGTTCTACCTCATCTTTCCTCCTTCCTACATTGGTGTATTACTCTTTCCCCCTCTCTTTTCTTTCTCCTATTCAAAACCTCAGAACAGAACAAATTCATCCCCAGGACCTCTGGTTGTTTTTTTTCTTAAATCCCTTAAGTTTCTTTGAAAATTCTAAAAGGAAACTAATGTCTTCTCCAGTTAAAATGTTAGCACTATATCATCATACAGCCTCTTCTAATTGCACAAGTACTCTTACCTTTCTAGGGTCCTCTTGACCAGGGATGGGGAACCTGCAGTCTCAAGGCCATATGAGGTCTTCTAGGTCCTCAAGTGCAGCCTTTTGACTGAGTCCAAGTTTTACAGAACAAATCCTTTTATTAAGGGGATTTGTTCTGTGAAGTTTGGATTCAGTCAAAGGGCCACACCTGAGGACTAGAGGGCCACATGTGGCCTTGAGGCCACAAGTTCCCCACCCCTGATTCAACTGATATTTGCAGTTTCAAATTCCTGCTCAGCTCTAGTCTTTTCATCAGAAATGCTTCAAAGTCCTCTGTCCTATTAAAGGTTAATTTTTTTTCCTGCTCATCTTCACTAAGTAAGTTATTCCTGGTTGTAAGCCTTTATCTCCATTTTGTCGTTTATTGCTCTTACCCAAGGGGAAATTTTCCAAAGTCTCTATTTTGGCAAGCTGAAAATCAGCGAAATGCTGGAGATACTGGCTCTCTCTATATGTCAACTCCTTCCCAAAGTCCCTCCTTCCAGGGGCCTCTCCCAGAAAAGACCTTTGGATCAGTGTGTGACCTCTCTCAGAGATGGAAGTCAAATGAACTCACCTCTCCCAAGCTCAGGTTCGAACCTTTCATATGCAAAGCAATTCAGAGAAAAATTCTACTCAGGATTGGGGAAATTAAAATAAAGTGATCTGCCCAAGGTCATATAGCTCTCCAATTCCCAGTCTAGTGCTCTTACATTCTGTATGAATTTATTCAATAAAACTCCCACTGAGCATTTGCTATATGCACAACTCTGTCTAAAGCACTGTGGGGAAACAATTCTATTAAGTTCCATGAAGGTATGCCTTATTCAATTTTTGTATCTCCCCCAGAACTTAGCACTGTGCTATAAAAACAGAAAGCACTTAATAAGGTAAAATGCAGAATCTCAAGATACAGTTTGGAATACTAGAAAGAGTGCTGGATTTTGGTCCAAATCCCAATTCCTAAATTTTCTGTTTGTGTGACCTCTGACCAGTTATTAATTTCTCTGAACCTCAGTTTCCTCAACTATAAGTTAGTGACAATATTTACACTGTCTGCCATTTACTTAACAAGATGAGGATAATGATACACGTACTTTAAAGTCTTAGATAGATGTGAACTATGATGAATGAATGTATGAATGAATGAATGAAAAACTCAATTCCTCTCCTTGTGAAACTTGAAAGTCAGGTAGTAAGGTTTAAGACACATACCTGAATTGTAGTAGAAGGCACAATGTGATAAGTGCTAGGGGAAAAGGCATAAGCAATTTTACATATGTAATGGGGAGGAGGAAGAAGGTAGAGAGCCAAAGATGACAGCATGATACTCAAGCCAGCATGCTCAATTTGGAGTTAGAGGGTTGTGAAAATTGTTTAACCACTCTGAGCCTCAGTTTCCTTAACTGTTAAATGAGGAGAATTGAGATAGATGACCTTGAAGATCCCTTCCGTTTCTAAAGCTATATTCCTGTGACAAAAAAAAAATTCATGAAGGTTTCCATATCTTGCCATAGTTGAAGTTCCCTAAGCTGAGCTTCAGAGTAGAATGCATCATCAAAACCTATAGCTTTCTTTGAGGCTTAGCTCAGCTACCACCTCCCCGCAAATGTCTATGATCACACTGGTTGTGTTCTCTCCCATCAAATATAACTCTCCACTGAAGCAGCCTCCAGCTGCTCAGCATTGGCTGACTTACCTTCTTCCGCTTTTCTTGATCTTAGGTACCCGAGGGAGCTGAAAGTATAGAGTTGGAATATTGAGGTGG